GTGTGTGGTGTGTGTGTGTGTGAGAGAGAGAATGTGGTGTGTGTGGTGTGTGTGAGTGTGTGAGAGAGAGAATGTGGTGTGTGTGGTTTGTGTGTGAGTGTGTGAGAGAGAGAGAATGTGGTGTGTGTGTGTGTGTGTGTGTGTGTGAGGGAGAGAGAGAATGTGGCTTGTGGTGTGTGTGTTTAAGAGAGAGAGAATGTGGTGTGTGTGGTGTGTGTGTGTGAGATAGAATGTATGTGATGTGTGTGTGTGGTGTGTGTGTGATAATTTCTGTGCTGTGTGTGAATGTATTTGGTATGTGGTGTGTATGTGAGTGTGTGGAGTGTGTGGGGTGTGTGTGATGTGTGAGTGTGTGTATTGTGTAGTGTGTGGTGTGTGAGTGCTATGGTATGTGTGTGAGTGTGTCTGGTGTGTAATGTGTTTATGTGTGTAGTATGTGTGGTAAGTGTGGTGTGTTTGGCAGGTGATTGTGTGTGTGTTGCCTGTGTATGTGTGTGGTGCCTATGTGTGGTATGTGTGGCAATCTGTGTGTGTGGTATGTGTGTATATGTACTGTGTGTAGTGTGTGTGGTGTGTGTGGTACATGTGTGAATGTGCTGTGTGTAGTGTGTGTTGTGTGATTATGTGCATGGAGTGTGGTTGTGTGTGGTGTATGTAGTATGTGTAGTATGTGTGATTGTGTGGGGTTGTGTGGGGTGTGCGGTGTGCATGTGGTGTGTGATTGTGTTTGTGGTGTGTGTGGTGATTGTGTGTGGTTGTTTATGTGGTGTGTGCAGTGCATGTGTGTGTGGCATGTGTGGATGTGGTGTGGTGTGTGGTGCATGTGTGGTGTGTGGTGTGTGCAGTGCATGCATGTGTATGGTTGTGTGTGTGATGTGTGTGTGTGGTATATGTAGTGTGTGGTCTGTGGCATGTGCGTGGGTGGTGGGGGTGGTGCATGTGTGTGTGATTTTATGTGTGGTTGTGAGTGGTGTATTTGTGTGGTGTGTGCAGTGCATGCATGTGTATGATTGTGTGTGTAGTGTGTAGTGTGTGGCATGTGTGGTTTTATGTGTGGTTGTGTGGTGCATGTGTGTGGTGTGTGCATGTGTATGGTTGTGTGTGTGTGTGGTGTGATGTGTGTGTGGTGTGTGGCATGTGCGTGTGTGGTGCATGCATGTGTGTGGTTTTATGTGTGGCTGTGTGTGGTGTACGTGTGTGGCATGTGCAGTGTGTGTGAGAAGTGTGGGAGCAGTGTGTGTCTGGCAGCCCACAGCCCTTCATTTTCAGAAGGAGAAAGTCTCCGGGGGAGCAGAGTGAGCCCCTTCCCACTGCACGCACACGTGCAGCAGCCCTGGGACAGTGTCTGTGAGGGCAGGATGCTATCCTCAGCCCACGGTCTGTCATCCCTGGTGTCGGGCTGGTGCTGACCGCAGTCCCTGTCCTTGCAGGACGGCCGTTCTCAGCGAGGGACCCTGCACCCGCTCCTGAGTGGCGACCATGGGCCTGCTCGCCTACCTGAAGACGCAGTTCGTGGTGCACCTGCTCATTGGGTTCGTCTTCGTGGTGAGCGGGCTGGTCATCAACTTCGCCCAGCTCTGCACACTCGTCCTGTGGCCCATCAACAAGCAGCTCTACCGCCGCCTCAACTGCCGCCTCGCCTACTCGCTCTGGAGCCGTGAGTGTCCGCGGCTGGGAAACAGTTAACAAGCCCATCCCAGCCCCAGCCAGGAGGGCCCGGTGGGAGGACGGCCCCTGCGTGTGTTGGCATGACAGGAAGGCCATGGGCTGGGCTCTCACTCCTTGGGTAGGGTCCCAGGGCTGCTCCAGAGCTCTCAGCAGTCCTTTCCTGGCCCAGAGTCATGTAAAAGGTGCTCAGCCCAAAACTTTGTGTCAGGTTGAGCCACACGAGCACAATGTTCCAGCACATGACCATTCTAACCCACAGAGATGTCCATTTCATATGGTTTAACCTAGTACTTTGGGTATTTTTAAACAAAAGTAAGAGAATAATAACCTTAGTTCACCCATTACCTGGCCAAACTTGTGTCACCTGCATGCCCAGCCACCCCAGCACCAGAGTAACCTGAGGCAAACCTCGGGTGCATGTCCTCTCACTTATATATGTCAGCGTGCACCTCTAAAGAGAAGGACTCTTAGCTCTCAGTTACGTGCATGTGTGCAGCTGTCTGGATGTGCTTCACGTGTACAAATGCATCTATACTTAGTAGAAAACCATCCTCACCTGTCACATGGGCAGGGTAACAGCCGCACTGTGGACAGAGGTCACTGCTCACACTGCGGCGTAGTGGGAGTGTTTTTTGGAGGGCATTTTGGTAGTGGCTATCAACAATCGACATGGTTATAAGTTTTGACTCCAGTTTTCTACAAAATAAGAATGTAACTTAGAGAGAGATCTGCAAAAGAATATATATGGACAGGTATTATCATTTTATCATTAATTTTTTTTAATTTAACATTTATTTGTACATATTTGTGGGGTACAGTGTGTTGTTTCAATACATGCATATACTATGCAGTGATTCACTTAGGGTGGACAGCGGAGCTATGTACCTGTTAGTCCACCCCTTCTCCTCCACCTCACCCCCCTCCTCTCCCAGCCTCTGGTAACCATTATTCTACTCTCTACTTCCATGAGAACCACTTTTTTTTAGACTCCACCTATGGGTGAGACCATGTGGTAGTATTGGTCTTTCTGTGCCTGACTTACTTCAGTTAACATGGTGGTTTCCAATTCTACCCATTTTGCTGCTAATGATAGGATCTCATTTCTATTTATAGCTGAGTGGTATTCCATTCTGTATGTATACCACAGCTTTCTTTCCATTCATCCGCTGACAGACATTTAGGTTGACTCCATGTCTTGGCTATTGTGGATAGTGCTGTGATAAACATGGGAGAGCAGGTGTCTCTTTCATATATTGACTTCATTTCCTTTGGGTATATATGCAGTAGTGGAATAGCTGGGTCATAGGGTAGATGTATTTTTAGTTTTCTGATGAACCTCCATGCTGTTTTCCACAGCAGCTGTACCAGTTTACCCTCCCACCAACAACGTAGGGGAGTTCCTTTTTCTCTGCATTCTCACCATCATTTTTTATTTCCTGTCTTCTTGATAATAGCCATCTAACTGGAGTGAGATGATGTCTCATTGTGGCTTTATTTTGTATTTCCCTGATGATTGGTGATGTTGATGGTAATTTGGTATCTATGAACAATTAAAATGGCTTATAAATTTTTCATTTTTCATGTGCCTTTTGGCCATTTGTATGTCTTGTTTTGAGAAATGTCTGTTCAGGTCCTTTGCCCATTTTTCAGTTGGGTTATTTGGTTTTTTGCGGTTGAGTCGTTTGAGTTCCTTGTATATTCTGGACATTAGCCCCTTGTCTGACGCGTGGTTGGCAAACACTTTCTCCCATTCTGTAGGTTGTCTCTTCACTTTATTGACAGTGTCCCCTGCTGTGAAGGAGCTTTAGTTCGATGTGGTCCCATTTGTGTGTTTTTGCTTTAGTTGCCTGTGCCTTTGTGGTCTCGTTCAAAAACGTGCTGCCCACTCCCATTTCATGTAGTAATTCCCCTGTGTTTTCTTCTAGTAGTTTCATAGTTTGGGGTCTTAAATTTAGGTCTTTGGTCCATCCATTTTGAGTTGATTTTTGTGCATGGTGAGAGATAGAGGTCTAGCTTCAGTCTTCTGCATGTGGATATCCAGTTTCCCCAGCACCATTTGTGGAAGAAGCCATCCTTTCCCCAGTGTATATTTATTATTTTTTTGTGTTAGCACAAAACTGGCAGCCACCAAAGTGCCCACTCATGGGGACTGATCATGCTTTGTCCATATAGCAGGATCCTACGCAGCCATCTCTTTACTGGTAGAGGACCATTTTCAAAATACATTTTTAAGTGAAAAAGAAAGGTGAGCAATACAATATACTACTATTTGTGTTTTGCTTTTTTTTCCTTTTAAAAAATAGACACCCTGTGTGTGGTGTGTCTACACATGTACATGGCTGTACGTGGCTGCACATGCACAGGAAATCTTGGCGGGAAACACAAGAAAACTGAACAGTGATGACGTCCAGGGAGCAGGGGAAGGAGGAAGACTTCCACGTTTCATCTCACACTGTCCTGCTCCTTACGTGTCTTAGTATGAGGGCATGTGTGCTTTATGTCACGTGGGAAGTGATAGGTCCGTACACCTGTCTCCACACCACTCCCAGTTCAGGAGCGCAAAGTACTGCTCAAAGGCTGTTTATGTCATCTCGGTCTGTACCCCTGATGCCGCTGTCTTTGGAGAGGCAGTGACCTCACCCTTGATTGTCATTTGCCTTAAACATGTTACAGCTTCAATTCCTAGTTTGTTTTTCTTTCAAAATAAAAGGCTGCTGCTTTTATGTGAAATCCTATGACATAAAACATATGCATGAGTTATGCCTGATCATGACTGGGTAACATGAATATACACAAAAAGCACAGGTATTAATTAACAAAAGCTAAATTATTGGGCCCCCCCTTCCAGTAATATTCTGAAGCTGACACACTACAAAACAGCTAAATTCTGGATCAAAGTGGCTTCTTAATGCATTGCTGGCTTCACAGTAAGTAAAGAAAATCTCTCAGCTCCTGTGATCCTGTTAGCAAAAAAGGAGGGGAGGGTGCTGAAATAAAGGGTCAGCATTGCCTTCAGGAACCGAAACCTCGGTTAGCTGTGAGAGAGAAGTGAGTCTGAACTGGACTCCTGCGAGACGGCTCAAGTGGAGCCGGTTGGCAGTGCCCTCGGTTTTCACAGAGGCAAACAGACACCCTCTGGGGAAAAGCGTCTCCAGCCTGGGCCTGAAGATCCCACAGGCAGAAAAGATAAATATGAGCTCATGAGCAAGAACAACGAACATACAGCAGCAGATTTAGACCAAAGACGAACAAAGTTACCAGATTTGAAAAAAAAAACAAGCAGAACTTCTATAAATGAAAATTATAGGATTTTTTTAAGTGAAAACTTAGTGGCTGAATTTTACATCAGATCAGACGCAGTTAGTGAGAGAATGGGTAGACTGGACATAAATGTGAAGAAATCATCCAGAGCGCAACAAAGACTGGCCGGAAGAAGACGACCATGAAAAGGAGTGAAAAGACGTAGGACAGAAGGAGAGGGTCCGTAGAGTACATCTCAGGCTCCTGTCTCAAAGGAGAGAGGATGGAAGCAGCGTCGGGGAGGTGAAGGCTGAGAACTCTCCTGGACCAGTGGAGACCTGGCTCTGTGCATGGAAGAGGTGAACGTCCACAAGCAGGGGGAACAGACAGAGCCCACAGCCAGACCCGTCCTGGTGAAACCACAAACCATCGGAGACGAAGCTCTTCAGACACCCGAGGAGGGAAGCCAGAGCCCCACGAGGGCTGGCAGCAGCTTCTCACGGAGAGTCGGAGCAGAGCCAGAGGGATGTCCCAGCCGCTGAGAGACCACCCACCCACACCTTCATCTCTGGAGCTCTGTAGCCAGCAAATGACCTTGCCAGCATAAAAATGACATTAAAAATTTCAGGTCGGGCCGAGCCCGTGGTGCACTCGGGAGAGTGTGGCGCTGGGAGCGCAGCAGCACTCCTGCCATGGGTTCGGATCCTATATAGGGATGACCAGTGCACTCACTGGCTGAGCATGGTGCGGCTGGTCTCAAAAAAAGGACCAAAAAAAAAAAAAATTTCAGGTCAACAAAGAATGAGAGCAGCTCTCAGTGGCACCAATTGAGCCTCAGGCACTCGCTGGCCCCCAGCAGTGGCCATGGCCCCTTCCCAGGCCAGGTGGAGTGGGATGCACTGGGACCTCGGCAGTCACAGGGTGAGTAACACCTGCCACTCGCTACTGCACTGAGTGCTGCTAGGGAGGCGCTGTCCCACCTAGACATGCACTTCACAGATAGATGGACAAGGGCCCTGTGTAGCTGCTGGAGGAGTTCATGTCCCCAGTGCCCAGGAGAGTGAATTCACTTCTGGAGCTTCAACTTCTTGAAATCACGTGTGGTTATTTCTAGGAGCAATCTAAGGACTGTCTGGCAGATTATTTTGTCATCCCTTTTCAGCCCCCAAGGAGACAGAGCTGAGGACAGCTGGATGAGCTTGTTGGGAAAACTTGGTCTCTGTGGCCGTGGCTGTGTGTTGAGTCCCAGTGCTGGAGTGCACAGCCTCCCGCCCCCCGCGGACACCCGTGGACGGCCCCTGCTGTGGGTGTCGGCCCTTGGTTCAGCTGCCATCATCGTGCTTTATGGCCTGTCGTCAGATGGTCTCAGCCCCACTTTGGACTTGCTTGAAATGATTGTCAACTGGATTTTTGAGGACCCAGGGTCTATTTTCATGGCTTTTTAAAATCCTCCAATTGCAGCCAATCTACCAGCAGGATTTGCAGAGCTCACCCTGCTCCCTGACTGACCCGCTGACGTGTATATAAAAGGAATATAAAAGGAATTTTTATTGGCATATAAAATTTTACTGGCATATAAAAGGAAAAGAAGGACCTCCTGATCCAGTGGCCACGTCAGTAACACACTTGCAGCGGACTCGGGCGTGGAGAGACAGTCCCTCCTCTTGTCCTCGAAACTCTGCCTTGGCGTCTGCAGCTTCTCTGAGCTGCACCTGCACTGGAACCCAGGGGAATCCTTATGTTCATGCA